CAGTCTGGGCGACAGAGTGAGACTCCAACTCAAAAAAAAAAAAAAAAAATTGATCCCCAATGTGGCAATGTTCTATGGTGGAACCTAGTGGGAGGTGTTTGTGTCATGAGGTTAGATACCCTATAGATAGATTCATGATCTTCCTAGGGAGTGTGTTCTTGCTCTTGAGAGACTGGATTAGTTATCAAAGAGCAGGTTTTTATAAAAGCAAGTTTATCGTTCTAGACTCACTCTTCTTCTTTCACCACATGATCTCTTTGTATACATCCACTTCTCTTCTGTTTTCTGCCATGACGTGAAGTTCCAAAAGGCCCTCACCAGATGCAGGTGCCTAATCTTGGACTATCTAGACACCAGAATTGTGAACTAAGATAAATCTCCTTTCATTTTAAGTTATCCAGTCTCAGGTATTCTGTTAAAGCAACACAAAATGAACCAATACACCAGGTTCACTGTATCCTGTGACAATACCCAATTTTCACTAAATTATTCCTTTTCCACCTCCCAAATCATGGAACAGCACTGATGACCATAAAACACTTCTCTAATTGACTAAGTGAAAAAAAATTACATCACATCTCTATAGAGATTCTTCTGGGAAGGATCCAACAAAGTCCACTCCTCCTGGGTGAATTCATAGCCACATCCTCAAAGGCCACTGGGTCCTAAAACCTCACACATATGTGTAGAGGAGGATAAGTGAGATTGAAAGCACTGGATATCTTTAGTCAGTTTATAAGACATTCACATGATTCTGTGGTTTCCAAACATTTATTCCATGACTTGGTTATCAGAATGCTCACTCTCTGTCTACACTTACATTCTCCCACACAACAGTTCTGATGCTAAAATTGAGCTATTTAGAAAGGTAACAGCAGAGTGGCAACATGCTTCTCATTGTTCAGTTCAGGGAGTAACATGTACTTGTAGGTCACCCCTAACTTCATGTTGTACAGTACTTCTCTAGTACTGGTCATAACAAGTTTTTACTATGAGGTGTGCTAAATAGAGTTAATACTGTACTAGCAGTCCTAAGAGTACTTATCTTTAGAAATGCCTTCTCACAAAGTTTGATCTTTGTTGGTATCTAGTTGATACATGTGGCTCACTGTGCCTAAATACTTTATCCTAATATATGTATTTGCAAACTTTTTTCCTAGCCTAGGCAACATAGTGAGATTGCCTCTCTACAAAAAATAAAAATTAAAAAAATTAGCCAGGCATGGTGGCACATGCCTGTAGTCCCAGCTACTTGGTATGCTTAGATATTGCTTGAGCCCAAGAGTTTGAGGCTGAGCCCAAGAGTTTGAGGCTGCAGTGAGTTGTAATCATGCCACTGCACTCCAGCCTGGGCAAGAGTGAGGCCTTAACTCAAGAAAAAAATATTTTTCCTCTTGTAAGTCTATTTTTTTGTCCCATTCTCATGGTGGTGCCTAAGGGATGACCCTCCCACCCAAACTCCCCTCCCATAACATATTTTAAAAATCAGTGTAATATAACCATATTAATAAAATGACAAATACCACTAACATCTCAGTTGTTACAGAAAAAGCAGTCAACAAAATACATAGTAACAATTCATTCATAATTATTATGAATGATGCATTCATAAAAAATTATTAAAAACTAAGACCAGAAGGAAATTACTTCCATATAATAAAGGTCATATATAGAAAGCTCACAGGTGCCTCATAATCAATGGTGAAATAAAAAAAGGTTTTCCCCTAAAATCAGGATCTAGACAGGATATTTGCTTCACTACTTCTAGCCAGAGTAATTAACCAGAAAGAAAAAGAAGGAAAGAAGGAAAGAGATACATATAAATTATAAAGAAAAGCTGGACACAGTGGCTCATGCCTGTAATCTTAGCACTTTGGGAGGCAGAGGCAAAAGGATTGCCTAGGCCCATGGGTTCAAGACCACCTTGGGCAACATGGCGAGACCTCATCTCTACAATAAATAAAAAAATTAGACAGGCATGGTGGTGCATGCCTGTGGTTCCAGCTACTTGGAAGGCTGAGGCAGAAGGATAGGTTGAGGCAATGGTGGCCATGAGCATGCCACTGCACTCCAGCCTGGGTGACAGAGTGAGACTCTGACTCAAAAAAAAAAAATTATAAAGACAAAAGTAAAATGATCTCTGTTCATGGTGATCATATATGTACATAATACTAAAGATAGCACACACAGAAAAAACATCAAAATAGAAGTAATAAATGAATTCAGTAAAGTTGCAGGATACAAAATCAACATGCAAAAATCCGTTACACTGGCTGGGCTTGGTGGCTCAGCCTGTAATCCCACGCCTCTGGGAGGCTGAGGTGAGTGAACTGCCTGAGCCCACGGGTTCGAGACCCGCCTGGTCAGGCGAGACCTTATCTCTACAATAAAATCAAAAAATTAGCTGGGCGTGGTAGCACGTGCCTGTAATTCTGGCTACTCGGAAGGCTGAGGCGGAAGGATCGCCGGAGCCCAGCAGGTCGAGGCTGCGGTGGCCGGGAGTGGCCATTGCACTCCAGTATGGGCGACAGAGTGAGACTCCAACTCAAAAAAAAAAAATAATAATAATCAGTTACACTGATATACCAACAGTGATTATTTTGAAAAGGAAACTAAGAAAATACTATGAATGACAGCACCAAATAGATTACCCAGAAATTAACTTTACCGAGAAGACAAAACACTTGTACACTGAAACTGACAAAATATTGCTGAAAAAATATTAAAGATATCAATGGAAAAACCTCTTGCTTTCATGAGTGCAAAGACTTAATACTGCTAAAATGTTAGTACTAGCCAAAAGGATCTACAAATACTATGCAATGCCTATCAATAACCCAATGACATTTTTTTTTTTTTTTTACAGAAATAGCACCATCCTAAAATTCATATGGAATTTCAAGGAACCACAAATAGAACAACTGAAAAAAGAAGAAGAAAGTTAGAAAACTCACTCTTCCTAATTTCAAAACTTACTCAAAGTTACAGTATTCCAAACAGCATGGAACCGACATAGAGACAGACATGTACACCAATTAAATAGAATAGAGCTGAGAAAGATACCTTCACATATATTAGAATTATTTTCAACAATATGCTAGGATCGTTCTGTGGGAAAAAGATGTTGGGAAAACTGGATATTCACATATAGAAGTAGGAAATTGAACTGGTATCTTACATCACCTACAAAAATAAAATGAATGAGAACATGTGGTACTCAGATCTTTGTTTCTGTGAAAGATCACTCAGTATTTTTTTTTTGAGTTGGAGTCTCACTCTGTCACCCAGGCTGGAGTGCAGTGGCTGCTCCTGGCCACTGCAGCCTTGACCTGCTGGGCTCCGGCGATCCTTCCACCTCAGCCTTCCAAGTAGTTGGGACTACAGGCGCATGATACAACACCCGGCTAATTTTTGATTTATTGTAGAGATGAGGTCTTGTCAAGTTGCCCAGGCGGGTCTCGAACCCGCAGGCTCAGGCAATCCACT